TATGCGTTGGTAAAATGTAAGGTTCAATTGGAATAGCAGGTAACCTTAAGGTTGAAATATGTTCATTCTGTTTTTCAAGTTCAATTTTATTGTTAATATACTTGTAGTGTCAGTACAAGATTCATGACCTAGGACGATGGAGCATGAAGCGAGTGCTTCAGTACCACACAAGACATCGTAACCAAAGCGTGAATCTACAATACATAGATTTTAATTAGCTTCATTTACAAGTACATATACAAAAATACACTATAAAGATCAATTTGTAATAAAAAAAAAAATTAGCTTCCAAAAACACACAATTTGGGAATAATAACGTTCCATTTATATAAAATGTGCAAATGAGATTAATAATTGAACCTAACATTCTTATGACACATGCCTATATTTCCTACATATATATATTTTTTAAAAAAACATCAAATTGTTTTAAAAAGAAATTATTCATTTTCACACGTTTTCCGGTGACTGCATCCATAAAAATGAAACTAAAAATTGAGAAATTTTACATAATCAAAATTTGTCGACCATGAAGATATTCAAAAACATGAAGAACTTTTATGTATGAAAAATAAAGAGTAGTTGACCTTGTAATTGTGATGCACGTGAAGGACGACAAATACGTCTTTCCTTGTTTCCTTTCAATTCCTTTTGCTTTGCATATGATTCTCTTCGTTCTTATTTTGTATTTCTTTTTTGTTTGTCAGAAAAACTTTCTCAGCTCCACCATCGTCGCAGTGATTGGAAACATGTACCTAACGAGAATTAGACATCATCTACAAACATAATAAAAAAATGAAAAATGTTTTCACACGTCAAAAGTAAAAACTCATTATTTTGATGCAAGAGAACATAAATAAAAGGAATTAAAGCTCTCCTATATTGACAAATGTAAAATGAGATAATTAGAAGTAATAGCAAAAATTTGCCCACACTGATATGCATCAGTACACACCTAAAAGAATTTTCAGTTAGAGGGAGTAATTTCACTTGGACAAATGGCAGGATCTGGGAAAAGTTGGACAGAATTTTGCTTAATACTCAGTGGTTAAATGAATTCAATGGTTTTGAGGCTGAAATGCTTAACAGGGATACATCTGACCACTGCCCTATATTGATGAAGTGTAAGACACAACAAACTAGTGTAAAGTCCTCATTCAGATTCCAAGCCATGTGGTGCCAGAATGATGATCTTCTAGATACTATAAAATGATGCTGGGAGACACCACTTAGGCGTTACTCTAGAGGTCTATTTGGATTCTATTTCAAATTGAAACGACTCAAGAACACATTAAAAAAGTGGAATAAGGATGTGTTTGGTAATATTTTTGCTGATATTACTAAAGCTGAGGAGGAGGCCCTAAAAAAAGAAATTGCTTATGATAGATCTAAATCTGCTAATGATAGAATGGAAGTAAATGAGGCATATGCTAAGCTAAACCGATTGCTCGCCAAGGAGGAAGCATTCTGGAAACAAAAAGTTGGAATCAAATGGCTGAATGAAGGTGACAAAAATTCTAAATCTTTTCATGCCTGGGTTAGGAAGAAATGGACTAAAAGCAACATCAATCTGATCTCCAGTAATGGGGTGGAGCTGAAAGAGCCTGATGAAATTCAATCATCAGCTGTGGAATATTTTGAACAAATTTTAACCAGAGAGACTACTGGCAATGGTGACAGCATATT